CTCCTCGCCTTTCTCGGTGTCAGGCAACTGGCCCTGATGGCTCCACCGTTCTGGAGAGGGCAGTGCTGGCGCCTGAGGGATTCGTCTAGTGTCCTCAGCTCCGCTTTTTCTTGATCTCGGAAAGGAAAGATATCGTTCCCAGTAGCGTGCATTTGCGAACTTTGCAGGTTGCTTCCTGTGACTTGCGACAGAACGTGCAGCTCCAAAGCAGGTGGCACTTAGGAGAATGGGTTGAATGGCTAGGGGGCCACGGGTGGGTTTTGCTGTCAACATCGACGAGCCTGAGTTGACTGCAGTTGCCTGGATATTTGTGTGAGCAACGTTTGAAACATTTTGCTTGCATCATTGCCCATGGTGCAAAATGACTGGCATCGGTCACACTGTAGTACATGCGGTGGTTCGCAAAGAAAACAACCGGTATCAGCCTGGCCATGGCTCATAGACAGGATATGTCAAAGCAAGAGAAACCAGAGATGCGGCGGTCCGCTGGGTTTCAATCACCATCCAAATCAGCTGCCGCGCGAAGCACCCAGCGATGAGCACGCTTAATGCCCACTTCAAATACAGAGAAAAACGGATTCTGGTCCCATGTTTGATTCGAGTTATTTGTCGGCTGGCTTTCCTGCTGCCGTGGATTTCTCAATAGTGATATGCAGTGTTCGAGAACCCGTTGTGCAGGACTTGCTGTCTGGGGCAACCCAACGGCTCATGGTTGGAAAATCGTGTCGGGCCATTTTTGTCACAGAGCAGTCTTCGAACGAGCGAACCCGTCAAACTGGTGGTTTCCTGGTGGTTTCTCTTCAAACCCTGTGGTTCCCTCGTGGTTTCCCTGTGGTTCCCTCGTGGTTTCCTTGTGGTTTCCCTGTGGTTTCCCTTCAAAAAGGGCTCCTGGACCCTCAAAATCTTCCACCCATCAGCTCCTTCGCCACTCGGCCATAGGCTCCAGCACAATGTCCTGGCTGCATCTCGGGTACCGGGGCCCAGTGCCTGGAGTCGACATTTTAAGGGTTGCGTTTTCAGGCGTTCTGTTTCGGTCTTTCTGTCTTTCCGACTTTCTGTCTGTCTTTCGGGTGTTAATTCTTTCCGTCCTTCTGTTTTTGCTTGTCTGTTTGTTTTTGTTGGTTTATTTGTTTGTTGCAAGGGGCGAAGGGACCGAGACAAGATGCTCGTGGGATCTGCGACAGTTGAACCCGCATGGTTAAAATCGAAGAATTGACCCGTGTATACAGACGAATGCCACTAAGTCACTAAATTAAACGTTTTCTGACCGTGCTGTATCCCTTCTGTCTCCGCCTTAGGGCATTTCCCAAAAAAAGGCATTGTTCCTTGGGTTGATCCAGAAGTTCCACTTGCAAGGGTGACAGGTGGCATCCTCAATTCGTGCACAGAGCCGGGGCTCAAGGCTCGCAGCGATCCAAATTGCACCCTGGCTCGGTCCGCAACATCAGGCTCCACTTGCTTTCGCTGGGCACTGTATTGGTGGTGGTGTTCGCGTATGGTTGCATGTTGCAGTTCCCGGACGATGTTCAGCTTGAAGTGGTTCGGGGAAGCCCTTGGAGCGGCGCCTGAACGCAAGGCTCAGGGCTTTCATACATAGCTTCCGGTTTCTGGTTGGATGCCAAGAATGGAAACACTCAGCAAGCAAGAAGCAAGCAAGAAAGCGAACAAACAAGCAGGCAGGCAGGCTGGCAAGCATGCACGCAAGCAGTGTGCAAAGTAGGCCAAGCGGGCGTCAGCCTCACCCATGTTTTGCCTTGTTTTCTTCCATTAAGAACAGTTGCAGCCCAATGCACATGCAAAGAGCAAGGCTTGCAAGTCTGGTGTCACCTGGGCTAGCTGTGTACTGGTCACGGAGGATTGTCTAAGCACCCTCAAAGTTTTGGACATCCCATGAACAGTGAAGAGGTGTTGCGTCTGTTTTCACAAGTGTATGAAATTTGGGTCATCGTCGACCACGAATGCTCAGTCGAGTTTTGGGACCCTGGTGGCTTGCCGGACTAGGCGCACTGGGTTTCCGCCAAACCAAAACCAATCACAACCTTTCGGATTTGGCGAAAAACCACAGCCCGAGGGCCCTCTCAGGTCTACAAGAACATGCGCCTCCCGCAGCTGGGGGACCTCCTCGAGGCCTCAACTCGAACACGTATCTCGCGCAGTTGTCCGTGTGTTGTGTAATATATTACATATATAGATATAGATGTATGCATATATGTATACACCATTATAGTGTTCTTGGCAAATTAAAGCGGGGTTGTGACGTCACCCAAAGTGAAGGGTTTCCTTCTTGGGCGTCCCTGATTTCCGGCTGGCGAAGTGTCGTGCTTTGCCCAGATATTTGCGCGTATCCACATTGCGATCGGTTCCAGGCATTGTGCATTTGTGTGGCCGCCTGACATTCTCACCACCACCAGCGCCTGAAATCTTTGGGCGCCAAGCCCGGTCCCGTCTTTCTTTGTGAGGAAGAACGGAATCACTTCTGCGGTTGCACCCTCGCCCATTGAGCCCCAGCTGCCAGTTGGAAACGTGGACGCCCCTTGTGGGCTGGAAAGATAAAGCAACAGACTCGGGGCATCCAGTTTTTGACACATTGCTAGTCGAAGGCCCAGGCAACTCCAAGAAACATTGATGTAGATTCTCAGAGAGAAGTAGGGACTAGGGAACACAGGGACAAGGGAAGACATGATGGACCACTTGGAAAGATGTCGGGAGTCTGGGCGAAATGGTCTTCCTCCATTTCTTATCTTGCCCCGTCGCTGCCTGTTTTACAGAAGGTATCCCCATTCCCTGTCTGCTAAAACATTGTGGGGCGGGGATTCGGGGGCAAATCGGCCGAAGGTGCCTCCTGAGCGAGCGGAGAAGATTGCCGCCAAGATGATTGTGCGGTGCCCGGGGTTTGTGGGAAAACAAGGTAGACGCAGAAAAGAGCCACGGGAGACTCAGAGGCCTTGTGATGGGCTAGGTCCCTACGGCTAGGTCTTTGGAAGCCGATCCGGGTATCTTCCAGGGTCCTTAAATTTGTCAAAGTGGTTGCTGTGGGCTGGCCTTGTGAATTCCAGGCACGCTGCGTGGTTGACACTTCCGAAACATGTTTGGGTGTCCCAAGTCCTTCTTCTTGTCATGGTGGCAGCGACCAAGAATCTTCCATTGCTGGGAGGGCTGCAAGTTCAAGGGTCATAGCTAGTTTTGATGAACGCTTTCCAGCTTACTTCGCACTATATGTTTATACCACCCAGGCACGCACTTCTTAGAACCTAGGTACACAGGTTTTTCCGTCGAATCGCTCCTGTTGACAATTGTCCAGTTGTGGTCAGTCTATGCCTCACTTGCGGCACAGTCTTTGCAGAAGCGCACTGGCACTTTCTAGCCGCGGGGTGCTGGCCAACTTGTTCGGGGTACCGCCGAAAAGGGTTGGTTTCCTCTTTGTTTCCTTCCAACACCATTGTAGAAGGGAGCCCTTCAGGAAAATTGCCGGCTCTCGCGACTGAGGCGGAGAATAGATTAGCTGGCTTCATTGACCAGAAGAGCGGCGTCATCCACTTCGAAGGCTTGGCATGGGAGGTGACTGACTTGAGACAGATCCCTTCCGCGTTTTCCGTGGGTCAAGTGGCCTTCGCCTTGTCTCCCTTCACGAAGCCAGATCGCGGGGCCAGGCGAGGCTTTCTGCAGGCAACTGGCCGATTGGCTTCAGCTCTGCGGGTCGTTCGTTCGTGACGACGACCCCCGGCTGTAGCATCGTCTCCTGTACTTTGGGTGCAAAACACGACGCGACTTGGGGGATGTTCTCGCGGTGTGGGAAGCAGTGCCGCAGGCGTGGCACAGCTTCATTCGCGCCCACGTGTTCCGCAAAGAAAATGTCAGAAACACATCAAGGGAAAACTACCATTTGTCGGATTTCCGTTTTGCCCGATTGCCCTTTGGCAACAAATCTAGCACTATGCTCAAGTTCGTCGTCGCCGTTTGGTTGAGGGTTTCGGCTGATTGCGCGAGGTGGTGACGAGAATTTGCAGGCGTGGGACAGGCATATCAGGCCGGGTGCGCAGACGATGTGCGTGACCATCTTGGCATGCCAGTCAGAATGCGTGCACTTAGGTTCCACATTTTGGTTGCCCATTTTCCCTCTAAAAACAAGACCTGACTCCGGAGTTCATTAGAGAGACGGTTGGAGATCCTTTTATTGGAGTACCGACTTGAAGTCCTTCTGGGGAAACCAAAAAATGACCCCGCTTGAGACATTGACCGATCCGCGCAGGAATGTGTGTACTCATGTGAATTCCGTGCTCTCCAAGATCAAAGACCAGTCAGCCATGAAGGACACTGTCCGCCTCGGGTTGCTTCCCTCCGTCTGACGGTGAAAAGCACACGCCGTCGGGGAGAAATAAATTCGGTGCTCTTCAGTGCCTGGCGCCCATGATCGTAACGTCACCCTCCGTACGAATTTTATGAGTTGCCCTCCCACAGATATCCGATTTGAGCAACTCATTGCAGGGAAGCAGCCCGGTTGCTCGTTGCCAACTTGACAGCTAATGTAGCAACCCGTGCCTTGGCACGGAGGCTGCATATATAGGCTCCCACATAGGAGAAACGATTCTAACACCGGCCAACACAAAGGGTGAGAGGCAGAAACAGCCAATGCAAACAAGTTCCCTGCCTCATGGCCGCAGGACGGGTGAGCCTGGCGCCCGGCCCCGAGGCGTTTAGCTGCGGCGAGGGCTCCAGGTCTTTGGCAAAAGCACCAGGCCATCGGGCGCAAGCAGCCAGCAAAAACTTGGGACACGGCCCTTGTCTTTGGGCTTCCTTCCAGAGTTCTCCTGCTTCACCCAGAACTTCTTGCTTGCTGTGTTTTTTCGGCGCGCGACTTTGGATCGCACCGGGACCAGCCCTCCGACCATGACGAACCGCGAATGCACAGAGCTGAAGCTGTAAAGTGGAACATGGCCACGTGGTGCTGGCATCAGTGAAACTAGGTGAGCATGCCGCCATTCTTTCGACCTACCTGGGTTTTTATATCCGAACTAACGTAAAGCCATCCAGCCCACCATTTCAAAGTATGCCTACCTTGTTTTGTATATCCGAAGTAACGGAAAGGCATGCGAAGAATGCATGGACAATGTTGCATTCAGCTGGTGGAATAAGGGGACAGCCGGAGCGAACTTTGACGCACAAGGATTGAACCAATTCATGAGCGGATATTAGAAATAATGAGTGGCTGCCTGAAGCGCACATGTTCTGCATGTCAGTGGGCAAACCTAATCAATCATCCCAATCGCAAGACGTTGAACTGGGCTACCTCCCAAAAGATAGTTGATGACCTAAAACCAAATCAACACGGCAGGACATTCTAAAGGTGAGTAGAGAGTGACGCATACAGCTACCACGGGTCCGCCACGAGGTGGCGAGTGGTCAGCTGAGGCTACGTTTTCACTGAGGATGGCTCTGGATGTCTCGTGAAGAAGTCAGGCCAACAGTCATCTTAGACCCGTTTTGCCAGTTGGAAGTCACATGTGTATGCACACGCTAGCTAAAAAAGATGTTTTTCACACTTTGCTGACCGTGCCGCCCTTGCAGAATGCGAACAGTTTCACTCGAAGAGAGCGTTGCTAGGGCCTGGCTCGCGTTAACGCTTAGGGCCAGTCCGGGCCGAGTCGGGGGGCGAGCCATTTGGCGCCTCGCCGGGCGCATCGACGGCGTTTCGGCCGCGGCTTTTGGCCCCCCTGTGAGAAATGTATGGCTCGGCTGAGGGTGGGGGTCGGGGAAGGAGGGGGGGTGGCGTTTGCAGGAGAGAGACAGCAGCGTTTTGCTTCTCTCTATTTCCAATATGTTCACACATGTTTGGACCTGTTGTTGCATGGCACTTGAGGGTCTCCTTTCACAAATCTAGAACCTGAGACAAGCACTCTGGAAGACAATTTTCCTCCTCATGTCAGGTATCACGTTTGTTGGGTTCTAGCTTGGCCACCAGGATGACTTGCATTTGCTTCAAAACATTGACATCCAATCGATCGAGAGCTGCAAGCCGTTTGGGAGACCGCCCATTTTGGACTCAGCACAACTCCCGCCCATTTTGGAATCAGCACAACTCTGCACATGGCAGGATTCCTGAATGATTGCTTGTTCCGCCAGCCCTTCCTTGCCGCTCCTTGACGACAGTTGTGGAGGCCAAATCATGTCCGGAGGCCATAGCCAGGGCTCAATATCGCAAAGCCAAACTGAGGGAGGCCCTGTGACTCAAGGCTTGTGCAAAAAGATTACGGAAGCCAAGGGCACCCCTAAGGGCCAGCCAGCATTCCTCGCATTGTGCGAAGCCGTCTGACAGGAAGAATCTGAAAGGCTGATATGGGCTCAACGCGTCATTTTGCCTAGGGGTTGCGAGTTCAGGCAGTGTCTTGTTGCCCAGGTGCTTGCGGGCTTTCCGAAACGACTGCAGCACGGCTCGAAATGTTGGATGCTAGCCCTCCCAGGGTGAGACAGAATCGAGCTATTGCAACCTAGCAGAGCAAACCTTGTTCCCCGGCCATGTAAGCGGTCAACAGAAGCAGGAAGTTCTGAAAGAAGCGAGTGAACCTAAAATGTCATGGGAGCAAGGCTTTCCGAGCAGAGAGCTGCGAGGACAGCCACAGGCAAGATCATGTCTCCCACGCCCACACACCAATGAATGGGATGCGAAGACACAGCCAGGACGCCCAAAGAAAACCACATCTGGAGCCCAAAGCAAGACATGCTTTTTTCTTTTCTGTCTTTTTTTTTGGTTGCCAAGGTTCGTTTGGAGTCTACCGGACAGTCTTGCCGTTTCTTTCCGGATTTTTCGGTGGTTCTCGACCACTATGCGTTGGGCGCCATGGCGGGCAAGCGCCTGGCGCGAGGCCCAGCGGATGCCTGCGCAAAGCGCGGGGACCATGGGACCTGACTGCCTGACTGGGTCTAGCCGCATGATGCCTTTGTTGTTGACCTTTTGCTGTTGACCTTTTTGTTGTTGACCTTTTTGTTGTTGACCTTTTTGTTGTTGACCTTTTTGTTGTTGCCCTTTTTGTTGTTGACCTTTTTGTTGTTGCCCTTTTTGTTGGTGATCTTTTGGTTGTTGTTTCTTCTTTTGTTGTTGACCTTTTGCTTCTCAATGGTGGAAGGCTGGCCAGTGCGGGAGGGCCATCCCAGGGGAAATGTCAAGGGCCCTGGTATTTAGAGGGACACTTGCTTGAAAGAAATGTAGCGAGAACACCTGTGAATGGCAATCGCGCTTGACGCCGCACATGTCAGTACATCCAAGCCTGACCTTGATCAGTCAACCGCGAGGTGAGCAAATGCACGTCCTATTCTGGTTTGCCACCTTACAGCAACAACTGCAGTGCTCATTTTCCCGTACTGCGTTTGGTTCCATCTTGTGAGCAGAGACTCGCGAGGAACGTAGATTGAGCGATGGATCATCATTCATCATGGCAAACGCAAAGCGGCGAGGCAGCGAAGCTTGGCAAGAAAATCATTCCAGGGGCACAACAGGTTGTCTTTTGAACGGATGCCGGCTCCTCTGTGTGGGCGCTTGCAATACGATCAGTGGACTGAACTGGACCGGCACCATCTTTCAAGAGCAAAACTGAGGATTCGCGAACGTTAACTGATTGAGTGATGAATCCATGGCTGACTCGCAGTGAAAGCAGCAATAGCTCAGGGTTCTCAGCGTCCATTCCCATGCAACTCCTGGCGCTGGGTGCGCTCAGTTTGTTCCTGCAGGGGTGTTTCGACCAGCCCAGCTGCAACGCCGACAACGCAGCAGCGTGCAGGGCGATTCACAGGTACTGCGGCAACATGCATCACAGAATCAGTAAGAAAGGAACATATACCATACAAATTGTGGATGTTTAGTACAGTTTCATCTGTTCGTCCAACTGCACTCCCTTTGGTCACTAGCCTCTTCATGATTTCCCGTGCTGGTACAAAGCCGAGACTCAGCGCTCGGAAGAATTATTTGGCTGTGATAGGCGAGAGACGCAGAAGGGACTCTTGAATCCTAAAGGCACGACAAAAGACTCTTGATTGGTAGGGAGGGGATGGTCTGCCATCAATTTCTCGTCAATGTTGGTTGCCGCGCTTTCATGTGTGCATTGCAATGTATGTCAAGAGCCTTGGCTGCCGCAGTTGTAGGTTTCCAGACCTGCTTCCGAGACAGCGGTCTCGTTGTGCCGCGCGTCTCCTACGTCCTGGTCTTTCTCTTGCCCAATTCAGTGCTGACTATGTGCCACCCACTGGTATTCCCGCGATTGCCAGCAGCGTTGCTCTGTTGCGCAGCTTGTTTGGTTTTTGCAAGCTCTGATTGGAGCGCGGCTCATGCGGCCAGGGGGGGTGTTGCGTGTGCGTGGGGCTTCAATTTGCTGCATGGTGTCACACTGCAAGGTCAGAGGGCAAGATTCAGGCAGCTGGGTATTTGTGGAATCCAGAAATATGGGTATGGGTCAAAATCAAACCAGCAGGGGACCGCAGGTTTTCGTCATTTTCGTCCTTCCATTTCCCAGACCAACCCATTTACCGACGTTTGAGCCATTGCAGCCGAGGTCATGGGAGCTTCGCCTGGCACGGGCTTGTTCGTGGCTTGGCAAAGCTCAGGGTCTGGTGGCCTTCGGGGCAAAAAAAGACCGGACCGAGCATGGCTTCAGCCATGTTGTCCAGAGATGCGCAGAGTAGCTGGGAGAAAAAAAAAAGGACCAGGTTCTTGGTTTGCATTCCAGTGCGGCTATTGCCTCGCATGTATGCCTTGCTTGCAAGTCGCTCTCGAAACATGCCCAAACGGGCCGAGTGGCTGTTCTAATGCGTAGGTCAACATGAGCTGAAGTTGAAGCAGAGTTCTTGGTTCTATGGAGAATCAGCAAAGGACCAGAAACCGATGGTTGGATTGGCTTTGGAAGGCAAACGGCAAAGGCCACACATGGGCAGGACATGGGACTCCAATTCCTCAGATGAGGGGGCCACAATTGGCCTTGGGGAACAAAGAGTATTTCCCAGAATGGGGGGGTTTACCTTTTGACTTTCCTCTTCTGGAAAGCAGAAGCCCCTGAAAGACGGCCTCTGCACATGTCTTTTTCCCGAAAGGGGGGTTCAAGAGGCATAGTGTGACAGCGGTCCCGATCGAAAACGCCCCCGATCTTCTCGAGGTGCACGAGCCTCGAGCCAAGAACCGGTGACCCGGGGCCTCGGGGGTCGGTTCCGCCGACGCGGATCTCCCGAAAACAAGAAACAACAACAAAAACACAGAAACGTGGGGCGCCCAGAAAGCAGAAGAAGGCCAGGAAGCCTACCTCTGTTTTTTGTTTTCCTGCTTCAGGGTAGAGAGACAATGCCCTTTGCTCGGTTGGGATGCGGAGCTCCTTCCCCAAATTCTTCCAGCGGCCAACCGGGGTCCAGGCTTCAAAGCTGTCAGCTTGGATCGGAAGCCGTTGGCAGTCTCGCAGGAAGGAGTCTCCTTGGACACGAGCTGCGAAGATTTGATTGCATCAGAAGGGGGACCCCGAACATGGTCGTTTTTCCTGCTGGTTTCCTTTGAACCAACCTGCCCAAAAGGGTACCCTTAAACACAGACATCCATACGCGTGAGGCAATGTGAGGTGCAAGGTCTGTCTTGGATCCGCTTCTGGGATTCCCCTTCAGCCATTTGGTTCATGCGTGATTCCCTCAGGGCACGGCCCTTGCATGACTTCCCAGACGGGCGCCCCACAAATGGTTGACCAGCCTCTGTTTCATTTCAATATAGACACCAGCCAAAAACACAGATTCCCTATCCAAGGAACCGCCAATGTGTATTTCGCCGCCATGGTCGCTGCGGAGGCTTTGCAGTCTTTTGAGCTCCCAGCGGCAGCCCTGAGGATCTTTCAGAGGGCAGTGCAGTGCATTTCCAAGTTGGGCAAAGATGCCGCGGTGATCTTCCGTGCCGAGGAGCTGTTGCTGCGAGGCGCTGATGACGGGCACTCCTCCGCCTCGCAGTTTGTCTTCCGCCGGAAGTTCTTTCGGAGCACACCGATGACCGGCGCGTCGGCGCCGCCTGTCGAGACCAAAGTCGTCGTGGTGGCGCGGCAGCTGCTGGTGGCACTGAAGGGTTCACAGCAGAAGTCTGCTGAAGGACTGGTGATACGCCTGCTGGGTCAGAGGATCTTCTTGGAGTTCACTGGTCGCCTCGGGGGGAAGGTTCGTCATGGAGTTCCACTCTTGGAGACAATGCCCTTCCTGCCGGGAGAACCTGCCGCTGGGCCTCATGCCGTTGCAATGGCGCCAAGTTTGCTCGCAAGGGTATTGGAGCATTGTGTTCCTCCGCGGACCGGCTGCGAGGAGATTACTGTTGGGGCCGCTCCCTCTGAGGGCTTGCGCGTGAAGAGCGAAGATCTCATGAGCTCTGACCGAGAGGCGCATCGAACCGAGGTCCTCGTGCAGATGTCTGACCTGGAGGCTTGTAGCCTGGACCCAGCTGGTGGCGAAGTCAAAATCCCCGGGCGCGGCCTGCGCGACTTTGCAAGGGCTGCTGAGAACATCTCCAAGGATCTGGACAGCCTCGGGGTCTTGGATGGGTCAGCACTGCTGGAGCTCCGCTTTGGTGCCACAGGGCCTGTGGTGTGCAGCATAGCAAGTGCTTCAGATGGTCTGGTGCGACCCTTGCAGGATTTCCGTGCGGTGTTGATGGTGGCAGTGAAGGAGCACATTGCGCTTCCAGGAGCTCCAACGCCGGTACCATCCACTGCCCCTGCCTCTGCCCGCCGTGCACAACCTCGGCAGGGCCCAAAGCGGCGAGCTGTGGAAGTTGACGTCGCCGACTTCGATGCCTTTCCAGAGCATAGCCAAGTTGGCCGCACGCAGGAGACGCAAAGACCTCCGCCCACCCAGCCAGTCTCCGCAACGCCCGGGCTGCAGCTGTTCACGCAAACGCAGAGGGCCGAGATCGCTCAGGCTTCAGCTCCGCGTGTGCCTCCGGCGGCACCTGCTGTGCATTCGGCGGCACCTGCTGTGCCTCCGGCGGCACCTGCTGTGCCTCCAGCGGCACCTGCTGTGCCTCCGGCGGCACCTGCTGTGCCAGCGCCCACGCAAATGCAGCCCTCCCAAGCACATGCACCAGGAAGACAAGCAGCTCAAGCAGCTCTGCTCTTTGCATCGCTGTCGCCTGCAGCCCCTGCTGCGGCAGCGGCTCCGACTTTGGCGTCACGGCTCCAGCCTCGGTTCGAGGATAGCGAAGACGAGCTCATCGGCGCGGACCCGGACGAGGTGGCCTTTGCCCGTGGCGACCAAGAGGAAGAAGCTCCTGATTGGTTTGACTGCGAAAACCTATGGTAGGGCGGATGAAATGGATCTGAGGTTGCGCCTCTGAGAGTTGATCGCCGAGAAAGTCCTGGCTCTTTGCATCCGCCTCTGTTCATTTGATGCGGTCACCAGCAGGCTGACTTGTGGTCACTTGTAGTCACTTGGTTTCTTGCAGGTTTTGTGGGCTTCCTGGAAGTGAGAAAAGAACAGGAAGGGGTTACAGTACGAAGTGTTTGTGCATCCTTCAACCACATTGGTTTGTGCCCTGAGAATCAAGCGACTAGGGTTCGAGAGGTACTCCAGAGAAGTTCCAAAGGAGGATGGCGGCAAGTCCGTTGCTGACCAGGAAGAGGCCGGCAACCTCTCTTGTTTTGGTGCGCCCAGTCCATTTCAAAGCCAAGGGCATTGAATTCAGCGAGCAAGACATGAAGACAGCCATGTGGATGCATTCTGCGCATGGTGGCTTTCCGAAGTCTTGATCCCTGTATTTTTGTTGCTCCTTTTGGAGGGACATTTCCGCGTGTACCATGGGGCTTGGAAGCACTTGCGAGCTACAGCTCGCTTCACGTTTTCTGCGGGCTGTGCAACTTTTCACTCACCGATCGGTTCAATGGTTGGTTCGCCGTTGAAAGGCCTTCCACACGCCCCATCGCTTCTTTTCAGCTCACAGGCACTTTGAACTCAACCCAGCTCTGCTTGGAGCTTGGCAGCCCCCTTCTCACAGCCATGCTTTGCCTTTTTTTCTGGCATCTCTGCTACAGCTTCTGTGATTTTTTAAAAAGTTGTATGTTTGTTTGGCGGGGGGGGTTGACAAGGGCACCCACGTCGATTACGCTTGCAGAACTCGCGAGCACGGCCCTCAGGAGAAGATCAACGCGCGGCTGGTGGAGATTTTAGAGCGCTGCGAGCATGGTTACCAACTGGCGCCGTGTTCTTGGCAGCAGCAGCTTCACGACTTTCGTGAAGTTTCCATGCAATTCCATCAGGTGTAGGAATACCTTCGTAATTAATTTAAGTTTCTTCACTTGCGCTGCTTCTTTTGTTTGAATGCAACGCAAGGTGCGACAAGGATTACATGTCCATCTCGTGCCTCGCTTTCCCGGCCAGGCGCAAGGTCGCGAAGCTCCGCACCAAAGCTGAGCAGGAGGTGCGGACAAGTGAGAGGTTTGGGACTTCCATTGCTACCACAACGGGCGCCAACTAGAGACCTGTCTTGAAGGGAAAAGAAACAAAAGCGGGTCCCTTATTTGACCCATTTCCAGCTGGGTCTTGGCGACCTCCCGACACTGGAAATTGCGAAAGCGAGTTTGAAACCATTTGAGTGGAGAGCTCCTTAGTTTTCATAGACACAATCTCTCACGCAGGTTTTTGCTTCCGTGTTCCAGGCCAAATCCGGTATGCCACCAGCCGTCCGGAACTACAGGGGTGCCATTAAGTCTTTCCTCCCAGAGCAAAGAGGCGACATGGTTGTTTTTCCCAAATTGGGCCCCTTCTGCTTTGTGCTTTGCAGAGAATCAGCAAACCTATTTCAGCTCATGCCTCTCTGCAGTGAACATTTTTGGCTGGACGGCAGGGTGAGCGCAGGGTAGAAAGGGTTTCTCATATCAGGTCTCCTTTAGGCACCCATGGCGGCAGACCCGTGTCCTGGCTCAATCATGACCCTCCCAGATATGCCGCCTTGCGCCGCGTGTTTGTCATGACTTGGCTGAACATAGAAGTCCAGCCTCGATTCCGCGGACCACCCCCCAAAAACCTATCCGGTATGGCCAGGGCCCCTGCCCCCCGGACCCTTGAAATGCCAAACGTCTCCAAGACGGATGAGATGTTTTTTGAATAGCAGCCAAAGCTTCTGGGCGATGACTGAATGGATGTCGCCTCCCATTCGCCAGCCCTAGGAGCAGGGCCGCAAGGTTGCAGAGGCGGAGCTGGAGGAGGGCAGGTTTGGTTTGTTTTTTTCCTTGGAGGCAGAGCGGCCTTTTGGGCTTCGGTGGTTCGCTGTGATTGTTTGGTGCAGCGTGTTGTGGTGCTGTTTGTTGGAATTTGTTGATGTGTTGTGTTTTCTCCGGGTCAGCTGCACTGTGCAGAAGGTTCACTGATTCACCGGGCTCTCCTCTTGATCTTGAGCTCCGGTAGGAGCTGCGGCCGCAATTCGAGCAGCTGCAGCAGGAGGCTGTGGTTGGCTTGCTGATTCGGCGATCGCCAGCTAAGATGTTTTAGCAGTTCCACAGTTCTAGTTCTCTCAGGCCACGATGGCAGTTATGTTATTTACGTTGAAGGACGCGCTTGCCCGCGTCATGTTTTCCCTGTCCTGGCGGCGGCGGCATTGACTCGGTCATATGTTGGCAGTTCATTCTAGCTGTCAATTTGCGCAAGCAAACACCAGAGCAAGCACTGCGAGCATAGGCGAGCCAAGAAGGACGTGATTCGAAAGTTAGGACAGTTTTAGATACCCTACCAAGTTTGCCATGGAACCTGACAGGGGGTGCTTTTAAGAGGAAAAGGGTCTTCCAGCACGCCCCCCACGTAAGGTTCCGTGTCAACTGGTGGGAGGGCGGCTGTTCTGACCGCAGGCGGCTGCCCTTCGACACGCCCATCGCGAGCTCTCTGAGGATTGGGTGACTTTCAAGGGTCTCAGGGTCATAGCCAGGTCGTACCCCAAGGGGGCCATACGCATTGGGCCTTCCGGCACGACCACAGAAACAAAGCCCATGGTCGCTGGGCAACCTAGTTCAGGATCATCGGAGAGTCTCGGTTGAAGTATATAGGCTCTTGGCGCTTTGGCAATTACTATCAGTGTACAGCAGTAGCATGGATGTGAAGCAATATTTACAAGTTTGACTACAGTGTTGACTGGTGATGTTGGTTCATCAGAGTGATAGACTCTTGCGAAGACTTGTTCACAACGGTGTAAGGCTTTACCGATGCCGTGGATTTCATGCTTTCCTTGCTTATGCTTTCCCAGTTGAGCGTGTCTGACTGACTTGCTGGCCTGACAGGTTGGACACAAGGCTCATTGGGAGTACCTCCTGGGACTTAAGCTATGATAAGTAGGTAGATAGAGAATAAAGAGTGAAAGTACACAATGAAATCAAGAAGTACATTTTGAAGGGCAGAAAATGACAAACAGAAAGAACAGAGAGAAGGAAGAGAAAGAGAAAGATGGAGAAAGCAAAAACGTAAAGCAACCAGAAGGAAAACAACGCTTCACTTCAGGCTGCTTTGCGCTTGCTGTTTTTGTGTTATGAAGCCAACCTGTTAACTTGTTTACGTTTATATTATTCAAGTAAAACTATCAGAAAGTAAATCGGCCAACAGCATAGCGTTCTTTTGCAAACTGTATGCCGTTTTAAGTTTTACTTTTTGTGGGTAAGACGCAAGCTTTGTTTCGGACAGGGTAATCAAGTACAACAGCTTTGTGCTTATATGCCTGTCTGTCGCATTGGTCACTTGCCAAGAATTAACTGACTGAATGCAGATCGCTGTCTCCATCTGCAAGTCCAGTACAGAACGAACGATTTCTTTGTCCATCTCATTTGCAACTCTTCCCCAAAACGACAATTTCCTGCCTGGAATGGAAGGAACATGCAGCAATTCACATCGCTCGAGAGCTGGAGAGATGAAACCTCAGAAACACTCACAGGTTGCTGTTCTATGATGGTTTCCACCCCCAAATCATTGCCCAGGCAAAAAGTGGTTTTATATTCCATTCCAGACTCAATACGGATACACTTTATGTGGTGGCTAGTAGTTGTATTTCCTGGGCTGTTCAAAGGTAATCCTTAATCCTTACCTTCGGTTACACAAGGATTTGGTCCCTTTTGTATTGGCTTCCCTATAGGGATTCTGGAAAATCGGATTGCAAACTCTCTATTTGAACAACTCAGAATATAGTCCGATACCCATACCCTTGTAGTGGCTAGTGTATATCCCCATAAAGCTCCTCTCTCCGGGTGGTTTGGTCGCCATCAAGCTGAGCCCGGAGCGTGAGGACCGCCAGGAGGCGCAGCGCCGGAATGCCGAGCTGGCCGGGGTGCAGCAACGATGCCTGGGACCTGGGAAGTTGAAAAATGAGGGCTGCTGCTTGCACGCATACTGCTAGGTTGCTTCCATGATTTTGATGTGATGCCGCGCTCAAGCCTGCGCAACTCCACAGACCTACCACGTGCCAGGATCCAGTCACCGGCAGCCAGTACTCTCAACATGTTTTTTAGCAATGGGCCCAATGACTTTACCAAGGCAACGTGGGTGTTTCTCAAAATCCTGAAGCTTCCTTGTTGGGGTCCTATGTTTGCAACTTGGACTCGGCATGGCTGCGTAGTCGCAGAGTACACTCGTACGACAAATGGTCTGAAGCTCATTTTGAGCAACTGCCAATAGTGACAATAGTGACTGTCAGTTGCTTGTTGTGCTTTCGTACCGCTGCAACCGCCTGGACCTCGCAAGTTTCGGCTGGAATCAGTGCTTGGCTTGGAAGACTTCGGCCACAGGCTGTGCTCGGAATCATCGGAGCATGGTTTCATGTTAGAAACAAGCAAAACGGGTGCTGGTGCCCCTTACAAGTGATCAAAGCCCCCATCTTGCATTCGGATTGATATTACCTATCAGCACTTCGGCTCGCCCTCACCTTTCTCCACAACTGGCTTGCATTGGTTTCTTCGAGCGCCGGTATACCTCACATCAAGACGCCTTGGATTCTTGCAGGGATTCCATCAGCTGCAGCCAGTGGCCTGCCGAACTTGTTTTTTCGGGGACAGGGTGTTGGGTTGGTTTCCTCGGACGAGCCATGGTGGGAAGCCATGGACCTTGCAGCATGGCGGAGGTGCGGCTTTAGGGAAGGGGTGAGCCCGGGATTGCCTTTTTGATGGATCCCCGCCCTTGCCAAGTTGTTCAGTTTGTAGATGTGGCCCGTGCCGTTCAAAACCCTAGGGTTTGAAGTTTGCGCTTGCTCCCCCATGTATCTTCAGCTCGCACACAACTTCGAAGACACTTTGATAGAATGCTTCTCTCCAATGCATCTGCAAGGGCACCATAAGCTCGAGCGAGGCCCAGGGAGTGGTTTCGGGAAGTGTTTCTAGAGCCACACGGTGTTGCGTATTGAGGAAGGTCACCCTTTCAACATTGTTTTTGGCAAAACAAGCATTCCGGCGGCTTCCCGGGGCTCTTTTTTTTTTTTGGGGGGGGGGGTGTCGTTTTGGGGCGCTGACACTAAACAACATTACACTAAAGGGGGGGGACTGAGCGCTTGAACCCAAGCCGTCAAACAGTGAAATGACAAGCAAACAAGGGGCGGGGCATGTTGCTGCACAATTTCCATAGTCAGTTTGTGAAATTTGGGCCTTCCCTCGGGGGGGGGGGGTGACTGGTGAAAATTGACGACGCAGAGTTTGGGCTGCGACTTTTGGGAGAACTCGCAAACCCCTCGGACTCGTCGAAGGCGCCCGCAGCTCGCTACGCGTTTTCTGCAGCGGCTGAGGCGGGCAAAAATGCCGAGCGACTCCATTTGGGGGGGGGCCCAACAGAGGCCAAAGGTGTCAAGGGGGTTCCCCCTGTGGGTTGCGATCAACTTGGGTATGATTTACTTTTCAGGGTCTGGTGCTGCAAGGCAAAGGATGATCTGCCAAGGAAACCGCTCCGGAAGACAGGGATTTGCTACTCCTGACCCCATTCTCATACCAACAAGGGCGACATGGAAGGGGAAACGCATGGGGCTTTAGTGAAACGCGTTCGGAAACCTTCGAAAGGGACTCTCCTCAATGCCAAGTCCCTTCCCTTTGTTTTCTCTTGGAGGTTACAGCGGCACCACGGCCAGATGCCAGTCGCCAGCGAAAGAAAGTCATGCCAGAGGATGTCCTCTTTTTCCTTGTTATTGAAGTTCCGTTTTTTTTCTTCTTTCTTTCTTTTTCTTTCTTTCTTTTTCTTTCTTTCTCTTTCTTTCTTTCTCTTTCTTTCTTTCTCTTTCTTTCTTTCTTTCTTTTCTTTCTTTATTTATTTATTTATTTATTTATTTATTTATTTCTCTGTGTCTCTCTCTGTCTCTCTGTCTCTCTCTCTCTCTCTCTCTCTCTCTCTCTCTCTCTCTCTCTCTCTCTCTCTCTCTCTCTCCTTTTTTGCTTTCGCCGACAATCAGCTGCCCTCTAGGTGGTTTGCTTTGGTTTGGAGGATAGGTTTCTCATTTCCCCTCAACAATCAGGGCTTCCCTCCGTGGAGCCAGTGCCAGGGGCGAGCGCCTGGTGGCGGCGGTGGACGTTCTGCGGTCGATGGGCCGTGCGGAGGTGGTGCCTTGGCAGGGCCGTTGAAACGAAAGACGCTGTGGCTCGGGTTGGGGTGGTGTTGTTTTTTGGGGGGACCGCCCCGAAAATAAATAAATGAATACATACTTAAATAAATAGATATCCACAAATAAACAAGTTGTGGTTTTCCTCTTGGTTCCCTGTAAGCCCATCACAAAAGGGGTACCCTCAAAAAAGACATACCTGTATGTCTCGTAAGTGTTTTGCTTGTGTTTTGTGAACGTCATTGATTTGGTTTGGTTTGGCTGATAGGTTCGCCTTGGACTGCTGCTCGCTTCTTTGGTTCAGTCTGGGATGTTGGCTTGATGGCCAAAGACAGCCGAGTGAAGGCTTAGCTAAGTTCTAGCGTCCAGCATCCATTTGGGTGAACGTGGCCAAGCGAGCCTGGCACCTGGGACCGATCTGGTGAAATTGGAAAGGGCTCTGGGACCAGCAGCGCCAGAACGAAGGTCCCCTGCCAATTCCGACGTCATTTCCAGTTGGGTCTGCAGGTGGTTTTCCCTTTTGGTCCTTGACACCTACCTGACAATATCGGTTTTCCCCCTCAACAGACATGACTCACGCACCCCGTCTGCCCGAGAAATGCTCCGAGGAGGTGAACGTCTTCCACTTCACCGCCCTCGTCTCTGCGTGCGGGGCGTCTGGGCGCTGGAGAGTGGGCCTCCACTTCCTGCTGACGATGGGCCTCCGTGAGGCGAGCGAGTTTTTGTTGGGGTCCATTTTTTATGGGGGTTTTCCTTTCGGTTTCCCTTCAAACCAAGCTGAAAAATGGTAGCCCGACAAAAAGACATCCGTCTGCGTAATATTTGTAGGTTTTGCCTGATGGTTTAAAGGGAATCTGTCACTACTGCAAATATGTCGTGTTTTGGCCAGGGGCCACCAGGACCCCCCAAAGCGAATCTTTGGACCGGTCACTTGTTACTCTCAGCCATCAGCCACCTCGGATTCCCTCTCGCACATACATCGCATGTGGTGCAACGCATCGCACGTGGTTTGCTGACCCGCCGCTTCAGCGAGGTGTGCCCCAATGACATCACCTTCACCGCCGCGCACAACGCTTGCGCCCAAGCGGAGCGTCGCGCGGTGTGCAGAAATGGCTATGAGTTTCAATGGGGAGCCCTCTCAAGAGTGATTGGCGGATATAAATCCCCACCTAAATGATGTCCACCAAAGGGTCCCATCAAAATTCATACCCAAGTGACCAGCAATTGTCAGGCCCCGCAGACACTCCGAGAGGAACCCGTGCACAACTGGGTTGGTCATATCTTCTCTTTTGGACGGCGCTCAAAAGAACCAGTCCAGCAAGGGGACTCCGGATTGATTGGCAACTACATGCATGGGAGCTCGCGTGGTTCTTGGAAGGACACCTTTGCGGACTACCCAGTCTCTCCTATTTTCCCCAGGGCGCAAAGGCGGGGCCTTCCCAAATAGACCTTTAGCATGCTGCTTATTATCCAAATGCAGTTCGTAGAAAATACAATTTTATTGCATACATATGGTTGGGGGGGGGGGGGAATTACAATGTTGCTGTTCAGGTTTGATTTTATGGAACTCTTCCTGCATGCTTGTTTGGCAAAGCACACTAGCCAGTCAGACTTGCAAGTCAAGAATGTGCTGAAGCCTTTGTTTGAGGGACGGCACACTTGTTAGGTCAGTCATCCCAACAGCATGGGGCCAGAAGACACAGTTGACCCGATGCAAACTTTTGAGCCACATGTATCAGACTGCTATCAGCAACGGCCAGCCAACGGCCGGGTTGTTCAACATCATTCCTGAATACTTCTGCCAGATGGTTGTGGCTTCCCTTGTTGTAGGATTAGGATTAGGGACCTTCATTTTGAGCAACACAAAAATCAACGATTTGCCCCCACTGACCCAGATCCCCAAACCACACCCCAAGCAGAAATATGGCACTTCAGTCTTAGTCATGGTTACTTGACCCCTCATTTGCCTTTCATGTACCGCTGATTTACTCCTTATTTGGGGTTTACCAAAAAGGGTGTGGTCCCATTGGTTTGGTAGTGAAACCTTTGAAGAAGGCGTTGTTGTTGTCTGCGGTCGGGAGGTACATGCGCCGCACGCGTCGCATGCGTCGCTGCGCCCAGGTTGGCGAGAGGCGCTAGGCCTGCTTCAGACGATGCCGGAGGGACAGATTCGATTGCAGCTGGGACTGAGACGCCAAATTGGCTCCTGTCATTTGGGCCTTGTTCAGGTCTGCCAAGCGGGGTCGATACTCTGACCCTCCAGAGACTCAGAAAGGTTAATCTTTTGGATTTCCTGGCATATAACTCGACATCTGCTCCCTATTCTTGTGACTGAGTCACAAGCTTGCGTTGTAGCAATATGGGGAAGATATTTCTCAAGTCTCTCCTTCGTGGTTTCTGATCCAAGCCTCTGAAGCCTCGCAGGCTCTGAACAGTAACGACAGAGGCACCTACAAATTTCATGCGCCACATGCGGCCTTGGCGCCATCCCGGGCAATGGGAAAAGTAAGGCCCAAGGTGTTTGAGGTGTTTCGCCCGACGCCCGAGGGACGTCTTCAGCTGCTCGGCGGCGGTCACCGCCTGCGCCCAGCGCAGCACTTGGGCTGCTGCCGCGCAGGCGGGGAACACTTCCTGTTTGGCGAAAGGGTTTTGTGGTGAACATGAGTGCTTGAAGTGCGTCTTTTGCAAGCGACCTTGTGACAGTCGGTGTGCCTCACAGCCTTCGAACCCTTGCGCAACCATCAGACCCTCAAAGCCGTTTCAACATCAACGTCCAGAGCTTTTCCAGCATCCACCCCAACCTTGCATCACACTGTGAAGCAATCGTGCAACAATGGTATACAATGGTTCAATCATTGGAACATTTTAAAGACCAAGATGTTTCTCTCTCCCTTTGATTCATATTTACAGTCACATCAACAAAAGCGCATTCTTCATATCCATGTCATCCATGTAGTCTTCCAATGACTCGAGGTGCTGACCTTCATGGGGGCCGCTTGGGTGGCCGCCAACGTCCTTACCTTCTCCGCAGCTCTCAGCGCCTACGAGCGCTCCCGCCAGTGGCGTGCTGGCCTGCACCTCGCGGAAGATCTGGCAGAGCCTTGGATTCCAATTCGAGGGCCTGGAGTTTGCCCCGTGCCCGTTTTTTTTTGCGCCGGTTGCCACCGGTTTATTGTGGCAAAGGGCCCTGATGTTAAGAATTTGGCAGCTTTTAGCCGGGTCGTGTCTTGATATGTTAGGTGGACGCGGAGTGGGTGCCCCTTTTCTCCGATGGTCAACCAAGGATCTGGTGGCGGCGAGCACTTGCATTAGCAGCCTGCAAAAGGCAGATCGATGGGAAGGGGCAGCCAGGCCAGGGAAGGGGCGGGGCTACTCTGCTTGAGTCATTTGCGGGGCTTCCAATTGGATGTGTTTTTTTGCAATTTGTATGGATTCTGCAGGGTCTTTGAGGATCATTTTCAGGGGTCCTTGGCTTGTCGGTGGTCGAAAGTGGTAGACTTCTGCAACTGGAACTTGGTGTGTGGCTGGATGGAGCCGGCCCCGGTGTGAAGCCGACTGCTTCTGGACGGCAAGTGCTCCGTGGGAGCTGCTAATGAAGACTTATTCTTTACTTTGAAATTACCCAGTTTGTTAAACTGAGACAAGTAGCAGATTCATCCGGTAAGCTGCATAGACGAGCCGCGACCTGACCTGCCTTGCCAGGCTCTTGTTCGAACTGCCGCTAAGCCGCCTGCAACCCAATGCCTTCAGCTTCAACTCTGTCGTCAGTGGCGAGAGTAGCCGCTGGCAGTGGCCGCTGACCGTTCTGAGCGACCTCGACGAGGCTCTCAATAGAAATCGGCCAAGGCCTTTTAACATTAGCAGTGGGGCAAATTTTCCGGTACCCCTCCCCTAATTTTCAGATGCCCTTTTAAAATGGACGAAACCAAAGGGGGGGTACCGAACCCGGGCACCTGGGTTTTGACTCAATGGATGTGCGATGCCCGTGCCCTCGAGGTGGGCTGCAATGCTGCCGCGAGCTCCTGTGGTGAGCGCTGGGGGCCGGCCCTGGGTATTCTCCAGCACATGGGTCGCAGTACCCTGCAGCCGGACGAGGCAGGGGGGGTGGGACGAAGGATTTCAAGATCAGATCTTACTTTGGGCAGGCGAGTGCAGGCAACATATTTTGCGACCCCCGGAACCCGTATGACCGGATGGCACTTTGCAGTTTCATGTCTGGTCCCCTCAATTCAGTGCCATTCGTAAACCCACGCCAGCGCACTTACCGCGCTTTTGTTTGCTTCCTGATGCAGCAACATAATATGAGGCCAACTTCCAACCCTTCTTGACCCAAACCCGAAACCCTGGTGCTTCTCTGAGCAAAACATACCTTGCTTGCCCGGGTGGGAAGTAAGGGGAGGATTCTGAGAGTCAAGAAATCAAGGGGTGTGATAACGCTGATCAGAGGTGGAAGTTGCAAAGGCAGATTCCGATTGATTATACAGCGAATACAATCTGATGAGCGCCATGCCATATTGGTTTGATGACATGTGCGTTATAATGATGGACGTTCTTCCGCATCCAATTGCAGGGACAGATGTGGACTCAGCAAATGCATAGTCTATGATCATAGGAGTCGCAGCGACATATTTCGGGATGACACGCGGACGGTTTATGCAGCTTAGAGTTTACCCCGCGAAGAAGCAAGACTGTGTCTCGGAAGTCAATAGCAACCACAAAACAAGCAGACCATCGAATAATTGTCAGCCAAGTCAACCACTCATGAGTTTGTTGTCATATGATGTCATATGGCCGAACAGCGGAGCTTTCAGTTTGCTCCCTTCGTAGGGTTGATGCGGATATGCACGATCTGAAGCTCGAATAGATTTGCCAGGGTGGGCATCAGTCGAGACTAGGCGTTTTGGGGGACGACTACCTACCAAGGTGCCAAGGAGGTGTGCGGCATTCTTTTTGGGTGAGCTTGAACTGTAATCCAAGGTTTGGTTAACATAATTTGAGGTTCTCGATGGGCTTGGCGGACCAGAAATCTGGCCGAGTTGTCATGCGTTTCACACTGAAAGCCAAATACCAGCAGAGAATCACAACACAAGCGTCTACCCAAGAGTCCTTCGTGTGGGGTTGGCCCTTTTCCATTTGTTGGACACATGATCTACTGTTTTGGGTATGAGGGGCTTCCCCAACAAGGAAACATCCCATGTCCTTAGGAAGCAGTATCGGCCATATTGAGCTTGGAGCGTTCAAGCAGCCAGTGCACCGAGCATCTCCAAACCCAAAATCACAGTGCTCAGGTCACTTACAGCGCGGTGATCACGGCCTGCGAGGCGACGCAGTGGAGGCGGGGTGTGGCGCTTTTTTGGGGGGTCGGGCCTGCGATTTTGGATGAGGCGGTCTTCCAAAACTAGGGCTCAGGTTTGTTTGGTTGGGTTGGTTGCTTGCTTTGGTTGGCTGGCTGGTTGGTTGGCTGGCTGGTTGGTTGGTTGGGTGGTTGGTTGGCCGCATGCGCAGCGGTATTGGCCTCATCTTGACCGAGGTTGCTAATCAGCTCTGATTTGGTGGCAGTTGAGAGTTGCTCGGGCTGGTTTACGGTGGCCCAATCCACTCAAACCAGCCCAAAGCCCACGGAACTACCTACAGCCAGGCCAACCCCAAACCCACCCAAAGTCAACCCACAACCCACCCGACAGCAGCCTGGATATTTGCCCTTTGCGGCGTTGCGGAACCTGAATGAGACCCCATAAGCTCCAATGAGACTTTTCTTATTCCTTGGGAAAGTGAGCTTTAGCCCTGTGTGGCACAGAAGCTATTAAAATGCTCTCCAACCCCAGTGCTTGGAAAGTGATTTGCTCTGCAACGCAGGCCAACTTATGTCAGTTGGACCGGCTTGAGCAACAAACGAACGTTCGACGAATCAAGCCACTTCAACCCTCCAGCATGTAAAACACAAGTCCGTTCTATGCAGACATCAACCGAAATGTGCCAAATGAGAAGCACTCTCTCCCTCCCCTCACCCCGATGGGGTGGGGTCACTGAACGGCTCGGAGGCGAGGCCTCGCGCTGATCTGGGCCATGCTGCGGCGCAGACTGCGGGCGGATGGGGTGGCATGGAGCTCCGCCGTGAGCGCCTGTGAGCGCAGCAGCAGCTGGCAGGCGAGCTGAGCCAACGGGCCGTCGGGTCGGGCCAACTGGCGGATGGGCAGACTTAGATGGCTGTGGGTCAAACCAATGGTACCATATTGGGGTAGGTGCACCACCCATTTTAGCCTATTTCAGTGGTTGGATTGGGATGTTCACTGGGGGTACGATTTGGATTTTGACCCATGGCCAGATGCCCTTCGCAATTTTTCATGCATGATCATAAAGGACACGATGACATTTTACGTGTGTGTCTGTGTATGCCTGGATCTTCCAGTGGCAGGCGTTTCGCCGCAGTGCGTGGCGCCGGACATCTTAGCCGTGGCCGTCAAGCAAAGCCCATTTCAAGCTACACACAACACCGACGCACAGGCAAAAACACACAAAAGGCAAACATATTGTAGACATGTGTCAGGGAACCCACAATGGCAGTTCCTTTGGTTTCCCTTTGCAAACCCACACCAAACAGGACACCCATATCTTCATTTGAGCTCATTTGCGCCTCCGCTCAAAGAAGCCACATTTGAAGCTTGACCCACATCATCTGGTAGGCTCACACATGATCTACCTTGAGTCAAAGCAGGTGAGGTTCATCATTTGAGTGTTAGGTTACACTTGTTAAATGCATTCTGCTTCAACGTGTCTACATTCACAGATCAGCGAACTTTATGAGAGACATGCGCAGCCCCTTCCAACCGAACTTCCGCCAGCCAGAAGCCTTCAGAGCGCAGCAATGCGACCTTTCTGGCAGGGGCGCCTGGCCAGTTTTTGCGTGTGCCCTCAATGCGCCCCTTCTGGCAGGGGCGCCTGGCCAGTTATTTCTCGTTCCTTGCCCATGCTCAGCCGCCCGGAGGCCGCTCTGGCGCTCTTTGAGAGCGGAAGGGACGGCGGCTTCGGCGACAGCGTGGCCCTGGGCGCGGTGCTCCGGGCCCTGCGGGCAGCGGGCGCGTGGCGCCAGGCGCTGGCCCTCCTCGGCGCGGGCGGCGCGGGCGGCGCGGGCGCGGACGCGGTGTGCGGGGCGGAAGCCTGCGGGGCCTGCTGCGGGGGGTGGAAGTTTCAGGAGCGGGGGGGGGATGAAACGGGATGGCGCACGAGGGGGGGTGAGGGGAGGGCCGAATTGGGAGCAGAGAGACAAAGCCCGAACTGGCACCAAAAAGACACATCGAATATGTGGAGGGAGCACTCAGTTCTGACAGCGCTTGGACGAAGATGGCTTGCAAGATCCAGGTTTGCCAGCCGGGCTATGCTCGCTCGGCAGGAGGCTTCGGACTTGATGGGGCGAATTAGCTCCACAGCCCTGGCGCTGTTGCTTGGGGGAAAAATGCAGCGAGTGCTTGGCGCTTGCCTGGAGTTCACGTAGCTGGCTCGGCCGGAACAAGGTGACAGGAAGTGTCATGGCGCTGGATGCAAGCTTCATGCGCTTTGCTTTTTTTGCCAGTTTGTATGGGTAAGTGAATGATTGTAAGAATCTCTGCGAGCTGCAACTGCTCAGCGTCATCGGCCGAGGTGGCGCAGCGCAGCAGGCGCTGCAAGACCGCGATGCAGAGCTGCAGAGGCAAGAGGTCACTCACCAGTGCGTGAGATCTTAGAGACTGCTCCAACAGTCCCAGGGTGTTTGGGCCTTTTTTCCGTTCTTTTTTTTTTGGAAGGGGAGTGTATTGCTGGAAGTTTTATAATATCGCAGTTGAGATCATTGCCCGTCGTGATCGCCCGTCATCCATTTTGACAAGATGAAAGTGACATTGGTGTTATTCCAACATTCTCTATGAGCAAACGCGATCCACGGTGATGTTTCCCAGTACTCTTCGAAACCAGCACGTACGGAGCCGAAATTCCTGAGTGTCATGTAAACAGGGCTTGCGATTCTCTAACGTTAATGACATTCGCTTGCTGTGTGGAGCTTGCACGGTGTGATGAAATATCATCATCCATCTCCTTTCCTGGTTTGGGCTCCTTCCTTTCAACAGTCGGCAATGTATGCGCCATTTTCCTGATTGGAACTCTCGATGAGCGACTGGCCCTGACATCTTGTTGGTCCTGGGCTCCATGCAGCTACGAGACGACCCCAAGATTGTGCTCCATGGGTGGGTGGATTTTGGGGGTGCGAGTTGAGTGTGCATAATACCGGGGCGAAGGAGATGCATGAGCATCCAGGTGGTTCGCACTGCAGGGGGGGGTGATTCTGGCCTGTTGGTTGTGAATGGATGTCAGCGGGCCGAGTTTGGGTTTTCCGAGCTCGCCCGGTGGCAGGTTGCAAGATCAAAGTGCCCGAGCTGAAGAACAGCAAGCGCCTCAGTCAGTGTGATTCTGTTGTGCAGATGTATTTGTGCAGATGTATAAGCGACTGCAAGCAAGAGGTTGCCAAGTTCAGTTTGTTCGTGAGCCTCTGCAAGTGGGGTTCGTTTTGGAGGTTTTGTCCACCCAGTTGGGCGTTGGACCAACCTGTTGTGAACAACCGACAGTACATGATTGTACATGGTGCGAATTTGATGACCCGCCCGGGATCAATGCTGCATCAAGTACATGCTCTCCTTGAGACGCGGCATGTTCGCTTGATTCGTCAGGTGGAAGGCACAGATTGTGAAACTGGTTGAGGAGATGAGGAAGGCGCGATGTCTGAGAGAGCAACTCACTGGTTACCAGTACCCCAAGCAATCCTTTCTGGCTGGTTGGCAGCTTCAAACAGTTGCACAAGTTTAAGTTTGTCATCAAAAGACCCGGCCGAGTTTGTTTAAAAGATAGTCAACCATGCGACATGAGTAAGCAATGCACGCAGCCCTCTGAAGGCAGCTATTACCAGGGTTTGTCAACAATCCTTTTTCGATTAAACAAAGATAATAGGTTGCTGCCCTCTCTGCGAGGACCAGGTCAATGATCACAACTGGTGGATTTTTGCATCCCGTGTCAGGTGGAGCAGCGGACGGCTACCTTGGCGAAGGACCAGCTGTCGAATGGATTATTCAACCATTAATGAACGAGGCCTACGATGAGAGCTGAACAAGGCCATTGCCAATGCTGACAGCGCATGGCTTCACTTCCATGGTTCGCTTTTCACACCTCGCAAGTCGAAATGGATGCTTTCTCGCACGTGAGCCATAAGGCCCGAAGTTAGACCCAGAAAGGCAGACCCTGATGCTCCGAGCTTGGGCTCGGCCCTAAGGATGAATGATGAAGGACACGTAGCAGGTCGCACTTTCCGAATGCGAGTTGCGCAAAAGAAACCTCCCGGACTTTGGAGGTCTTGGTGGGTGTTGAGGTTTCGCTTCTGGTTCTTGTATTTTTAGCGAGGTGTGATGAAGCCCCGGGTTTGTGTGTGTGTGTGTGTGATACGGCTCAAACCCCCTGTGCAAGGAACAATCAACGCTTGCAAATTGCACCCCGTGCTTCAGCCGTACACACCGGAATTAAAACGCGTCCGCGTCCAAAAACGGGCCTTGCTTCTGATAACCCGGTCATTCTCCACGTCCTTCTTTTTCAGGGTTCAGTTTCTCCAGGAGGTACGCTTAGGACACCTGGGATCCCGAATCTCTGAATTTGGTCGGGCACTGTGTCGCTTTTTTTCAGGGTTCGGGTTCCCTACGAGCCTACGAAGGGGGCTCGGCTTCCTTGAAGCGGGTCTACATTACCCCCCCTCCCCCGCAGAGATCCCCCCGCGATTCCCCCAACACAGCTGGTTTTCTCTTGGTTTTTCATTTGGGCGTCGCTCAAAATTTAGCAGCTAGGGCTACGCAGGTTTAAGTCTTTGGTTCCATTTACCAAGGTGCCATTTTGGTACATTTATTTGAGCCACAGCCATTTAAACCGTTTATCGAGCTACATTTATTTGAGCCACAGCCACAGTCACAGCCATTCTATTTGAGCCACAGCTTTATTTGAGCTACAACCAAAAAGCCGCGGGGGGACCCTGTCTTCCAAAAAGACGCGCCACCCGACCCTTCTGCCGGGCGTCAGGAGCTGGCGGCCTCCAAGGCGGAGCTCGCCAAGCTGAAGGCGGGGGGCCAGGACGTGGTCCAGCGCTACGAGGCGGGGGGTTTGGGGCGGGGGGTTGGAGGGGTTGGAGGGGTTGGAGGGTGGCGGAGTTGGAGGGTACCGGAGTTTGGAGGGTACTGGGGTTTGGGGGGGTTTGGAGGGTACCAGGTGTTTGTTTCCCGGAGAAGGGCAATAAATTACAGCTCAGTTTTGACAGAGGGTAAGAACGAAATAGCACCTTCCAAGGGCTGTCAGACGGTAGTGGGGTGACCCCCTAGGAGATAAGAAGCCTTACCAAACCTGCGTTTTTGTTTCAGGTCTCGGCGGGATGGGGAGTGTTTGTTTCGCCCAAATTCAGCGCAGTTCATTCGTTTGGTGCCACAAGATTATCATAATATATGGAGCCTCTTTCAGCGGTTGGAAAAAACTGCGCAATCAGCGACATGGTAGCGGAGCAACCTTATCAACCCAGAGTATCAGAACTACCTGCAGCCGGCTGGCAAGCACTCACAAGGATGCCGCGATGCACGCGTGCGCGCTACATCGACATCCTCACGGCGTCGCACATTCAGTGAATCATGAGTGCGTGGACTGGCGACGGGTTACAAGGTTGCAAGACATTGCGACCAACTATGACAAGCTCAAGAAGCGCGTGAAGGGTTATCTGCAGGCTCTTCAGCCGAGTTCACTGCTCAGGGCATCGAGGCGAACAGCAAAAGCGCAGCGTCTGATGAAGCGGCTTGATGGCGAGCGTACCTCTGCGGCAAGTGGGCAAACACAAAGGCGGTCTGCCGGAAGAAGGACGCCGATCAGAAACAGAAAGGCAAAGGAGGTCCTTGTGCGTGCCACACACGCCCCTTGTTCGTTTGTTTTTGTTTGTTTGTTTGTTTGTTTGTTTGTTTGTTTGTTTGTTCGACTGGTGTGCTTTGCTTGTCTTTGCTGCCCGCGCGGGCAATCTCAGATCCAGCGGCAACGTTTATCATCGGTTCACCTCTCAGATGTCTACTTGTCACACAGAGAGTAGCGGGATCTTGACATCATTGCTGTGATGCCTAATGAGAACATCTACATCCAGCTAGACCTGGCAGGTCGTACCGCATTTGAGACTAGCTGCTAGACATATTCCCTGTTGTCACATTTAGCCAGCATGTTTGTGGGGTTCGGTGTCCAGTTGGCAACTCGAGGCGAGTTGTTCTTGTTCTTATCTATGGCCGCCCCCAGTTGGCTTCCGGGTTGGAGAGAAGTTCCTCCTGACTCGCGAGCCATGAAGCTTGGCCTCACCCGTTCAGATTGAGGATCCCTCTCACTTCGACCGATCCAGTTCGCGACTCAGGAGGAGAGCGGCCGGCGTTTGGAGCTCGAGGAGAAGTGTTTGCATCTGGAGGAGAAGGCGGGGATTCGCTGCCCCGGGTCGGCCAAGCTTCGCAACCTGGACATTGCGGAAATGGGCATCATTTCCCGAGAACTACAATCATTGTAGGAGGCAGCTGACATTTTTCTTGGGTACCAATGTATGCTGTGTAGTCTGCGCGGACTACATTTTTTCAGGGTAGCATGAACAGAAATTCAGCAGTTGAACAACGAAGCAGTGGAAGTGGCATACGCTCCAGGACTTGTGGAAACTTTGGCTGGCGGGCGTAGCATCGCCATGCCAAGCGATCGCGCAAGCGAACAAGAAACCAAAGCAAAGAAGCAACCAAGCCACAAAACGGGTAAGTCAGCCAAGCACGCAATCAAGAAAGCGAGCAAGGCCTCCTTCCTAGTTGAGTCCATGCCTTTCGAGCCGCCAGTTGAAGTCCCGCGAGCAAAGATCTCGCGACGAGACAGCGCAGAAGGCGAAGCAAAGTCAGGCGCCGGAGTTTCTTTTTGAAAGGCTCACAGGACCAAGGCTGGGGCTTTAAGATCTTTGAACCAATCGTGGTGCGCCTTTCATGTGACCAAACTGGCCATCAGCCATTTTTCCGTGCTGGTTCATGTCATGTTTCAGGCTGGTGGGAAGCGACTCGCCTGGAGCATTGTTGGATGACTGCTGGGTGGGATGAGAAGACCTCCCTCCCCATCTTAGCTTCAAGCCCTGGACATAGCTTGGCGCGAGCATCCTGAGTGCGTCTGCAAAAGACACCTTTCCTTCCCTGCCTACGGCATGTTTCCGGGTCAACTGTTGGTTACAGCTGACATTTCCGTGTTTTGCGCGCTGCAGCCGGTGGATTGCTTTGAACTTCGGGTTTCGGGTTGCACGGTTTTGGTTTCGGCTGGTTTTCAGGTTTGCTCCCCCGGTTTCCTCGATGGGCCATGGCCAGGCCAGCCAGGCCAACGTGGCCAAGCTGGAAGAGCGGGCCAAGCAGCAGGAGGAGCCGTAGTCCCAGCCATGGCTTCGTCAGAGCCCGGCTTGAAATGGGAGTGCGCCAAAGCGGTGGACTCATCCACATGGTTGATTTCATCTTGGTGTCCTGGAAAGTCACGCGCACACACGCACAGACACACACACACAGCCAAATTGGGCTTCTCAAAATCACTGAGGCAGCACAAAGTCGCTGAGCGGGGTCTTCCATTTACTTCGGTCAATGCCATGTTGGCCTGCAACAGAACATGATTGCGCCCATGCTTTGGCTCTTGGTGTGTGATTTCACCATGACAAGTCGGATGCCGGCAAGCAAGACGGGACAAAATGCAACCATGGGATATGTACTGGCAGCATAAGCTGCAGTGAGTTACTAACATGAACAGGCACCTGTCGCTTACAGTTGAATGGACAACGGTTTCCATTTAACCTTCTTGGTTTAAGACATCGATCCCATAGTGTCTTGAATCAGGGTGGAGGCAACAGAACAGCTAGATACTGGGCCTTTGCTACAAAGATACAAGCGCCTTGATGGCGAGTAAGGGATTTCCGACACCAGGCTGCTGCACCCAAGGACTTGACAACGCGTTGATTATAGGAGGACAGTGTTCTTGAATGACGCCAAGAGGAAGCCGTCCTTTAGCACTGTGATGGCAGCATCGACACCTCTTTACCACTTAGATTTGCCATGAGATTCGCAGCCATCTTTCAGTCTCTGCGAGAAGTGTTGGGTTTCCTTTCATTGGTCTTGACATCCATGCTACGGTCAAAGCATGAGAAAGATCTGCACAATCAAGTTGTATGTCCGCTCCATTACTTGCAGACTGGGCCACGGGCATTGCCGTTGTTGGCGCGGTTGCATCCCAGCGCCAACTTTCGGTCAGAGGTCCACACTTCTCTCGGGCGCCCCGAGAGATTGGCATCGATCCGAGGCAAAACCTGGAGATGGCCCGGAGGATGGAGGAGGCGGGGGACCTGTGGGTGTGAACTCGATGGTTGAGGGTGGGAAAAACCAGATGCTGACTGGCGCATGTGTTTCAAGGAAGGGTTGAACTGTGTTTTTGTGTTTTCCTGAGTGTTTGGGGAGAAACCAGCTCATTGCTGTGGAGTGCCAGGTTTAGCTTTTGGTGTTTGGAGGGATGGTTGTTCTTGCTGTCTGGCAACAGTTCGGGCATTTGCATGGTTTGTTCTCTGGATTTATCTTAATCTGGTGGCATTTTGCTTGCAAGGGCAGACCATATCACCAGGTGCCCCCTCGGCAACGAGCAAGCAACATGCTGTTTCTCTTGTGTTTTTTTCCCCGCGCTGTGTGGCAGTAAATGTGGTATGTGTTAGCGTTCAATCAGAACCTGCGGCATGGTACGAAAAGCAGCATCGGGGACCGAACTGCTTCGGTTCTCACAGACCACGTGTTTGCCAGACCCCTAGATTTTAACCAGAACATTCGGAAGCGAGTGTTTGCGGACAGAACTTGAATTCAAACTTGGTCAATCCCGTCGCCTCTAAATGCTGCTGATAGGAAGCGTGCGTGTAACCCTAGAGGTTTGACATCTCTTTTTCTGGCTTTCTCCTTGAACGGTTTAATATTTGTGAAACAATGCAGCAGTTGTATTGCGCCTTTGTGTTTGCCGCCCCGATCGCACGGGTCCTAACGTGACATGGCCGTATTTTGGCAGGTGTCCTGATCATCTCTGTGGATGTTTGCACAGAGACATCTCACCCGGTGGGGTGATCATGCATGTCAGTGCAGCGTAGTGCCGCGCAATTGTAGAGACGCTGATGGTTGTAGTCATGGTGAAAACAGGCCACAAGAACTCACTGTGACAGGATTGTTTCATGTTGGTCATGGAGGAACCAAAAGACAGCGTGCCCACTGTGAGCGTGTGCAGGAACGTTGCCACTGAGTGCACAGCACTCTTTGGTCAACCATGATTTGCCCTTTGACCCCCTTGAGGAAAACAACACCAAGTTTCAAGAGTGTAGACATTCTCAGTGAGGGGCTATCGCACGACAGGCGGAGGCTCGCTGCCGAGCTGCCGAGGCCGAGCTGGAGAGGCCCAGTGAGGGCAAGAGATTGATGCGCCTTGCTCAAGATTTGGAAGCCCAAATGAAATGTTGTGTAGATACGCGTTGTGTTTCTTGGGAATCCCTTTTTGAGGGTTCCATGATCATAGTGGCTGTTTGTCAAAACCGAAAGACTCGCATGCAGAATGCTTAGCTTGGAGACCCAGGTGGGGGTTGGATGCTCGCCTCAAAGCTTCACTTTGGGTCTGTGTATTTCGACATGGGACGCACAATCCGCTTGACTCGACTCCTTGCTTCCTGCGAAACACAATGAAGAAGTCTATTCGAGGCAAGGCCATGCCCATGTTTAGCCTCTTCAGGTCTTGGAGCAACCCTGATTTTGGGTTTGCGCCTTTCTCGGGATCCCGTCCTTTCCGCCAATCCTTCCTTTCCACCCAACGTCCCTGGATCAGCCAGTTTCCCAAGAATGGGCATTCCCGGTGCCTCAGTCAGTCCGGACCCCCCGCATCCCAGTGCCTCGGGCTCCTGCGAGGCTCCGGGCCGCCTGCGCGGCCAAAGGTCGAAGGGTCGAAGAGCTGGAGGCGGATGGATGGCCGTACCAAAACTATGAAATGGGAATTCATCCATAGATTTTGTGGGTCAACTTCAAAGAGGGGAACCTTTCTCAGAGATGGGCACTGGGAGGCGCCCCTTCGCTTCAAACAGACATCCAAAGGCCAAGCCCGTTTCAGAGGGAATGGACTTGGGCTGACGAGATTCAGAAGGCTAGGGCGTGATGGATATGTGCGAGGAGGTTGGAGTGGGCGGCAAGAAGTGTTTTGAATACTACCAGCCTGAACTCTTGCCAGAAAGGACACATAAAGTCAGGAAATGTCCAGTACTGGGTTGCGATATAGGCTTGCAACGCTCTATATACCCCTTATTTAAGTGGTATATAGCCTTTATACAAAATACCTTCAACCCCCATACCTAGACATACATACAGGACCCCCTCGCGAGCCAAGAACCAAAGTCACTACAATCATGCTTGCGTGAGTGGAAGCGAATGCAACGCCTCAGCATCAGTTAGCGAGTCAGTCTTCATCGAAGGAGGTGAGCAACAGAGAAGGATCTGATTGATGGCAGAACCTTCTCAAAGATTGCGAGGCTACTGACTTCCCAAGTGAAATTGCTTCGACGCCTGACCAAATTTTGACGAAAGTGATGCACCTTGGACCCTAAATTCGACCTGATCCAGTCGCATCTGAAGGATTGCACGCCTTCAGATGTCGTAGTTCGATCTGTTTTGGGCACGAAGCTGTGGCCATCAGCTTCGGAGGCTGAAAGGTGCGAGGAGCCGGGTGCTCAATGACGTCTACTTCCTCCAAAAATGCGCCCCTAAGACTTTGAAGGATCAAATCCCAACGTTTGGGGGCAAAATGGGCAGAGTCTGTATGTTGTGTCAAGGGTTTTGCTCCTGATTCCTTTGGAAGAGCAAGCCTTGCTGATGGCTTGGTGTGCTGGCCGAAGGAGATTTCGGCTGTTTCGTTTGGGAGTCGCCTGCATGGAGCTGGTTCTCTTTGAGACTCCAGGCACATTCAAAGCACTCGCTGTCACGCCCTGCGTGTTTCAGGGGTATTCCAAGTGGACGGGAATCGGGCGCCTGGCGCCTGTCTTTGCCCGGTCGAGGCCACCAGGGCGACCGCCCATCCCGCGCAGGCCGAGCAACGCCGAGCGGCGTTGCTGACGTTTAGGGTCTCTGGCTAGGCGTGATAAGGCAGGGACCCCAGCCCTCTCAGAGGGCGGTAAGTATTGGCTGTCTGACAAACGCATGGTGAACGGCGTGTGTAGTTTTGACATCGCGTGCTGTAGCTTGTTGAGCGCAGCTTATTTCTGCACAGAACCAACCAGTTCTGCACAGCCGCCAACGTGACCTTCTGAACTCATTTGTCAATACTGGCCTGGCCGCATGCAGCCATCGTGGAGTGTGACATATCGGCGGGCAGACGCTCAATCAAGGATTTTGATTTTGCAAGCTGTGCGCCCGTGTGCTTGTTGCAGCCCTTTGATGGATGTGGTTTCTGTTTCGGTTTCCGATTTGTTTCCCCAAATCCACTAGGCGCACTGACAAACACACAGAGTCCATGTACCCGATCTGCCAGTCGGCCTGGCACCGGCAGCAGCGTGGGCAGCAGGGGCCCCCAGGGCCAGTGACTGGGTTTGGTCTGCCCTTGGATTTGTGGGTGGTAAGAGCCGCAGATTGGGGAGCAACTTCGCAGGGTGCTTCTCCTGGCGATATGAAGACTAACACGAGCTCTCCCACGTGATTCTTTCCTGGTTTATTGGTGCGCGGGTTTGGGAGTTTTATCAGCCTGTGTTTGGTTAGCTGGCGTGCAGGTCGGCATCCCGGCCATGACAGCAGGACTGCGCCGCGAGCCGCCTTGGGTTGAACAGTCTTCTGATGTGTCAGCAATCATGGTCGCCCCCGAACATGTGCTTGGCTCTGTTTGTTTATTTGGCAGGTTGTCGTTTTGACCCTACGCAAGTTCATGCTTGCTGTTTCTGTGTATTCTTCGATATGGTTTGCTTTGAGACGTGTCTCGCAATATTGTATTGTGTATTCTTCTCCAAACATGCTGCTTCCTTACATCCTGCGACTCGCATGGAGAATGGCAAGAGTTGCATTCCAGTTTTCAGCTTCCAGCCAGCTTCCTGCCAGTCGTGCTGGTTTGGAGACCTTTAGAAGGCAATCTAGTTGCGTTGAGAGCAGCGAAAGTTCTTGATATTTTAAACAATCTTGGGTGTGTCGCAAAATAGGGGACCGCTAAAATGTATGTTTTCACTTTTGTTTCCCTTTGCAAACCAATCCGCTTAGAACATTGTTCCAATAGTGAAGAGCATTCATCCCAATCGGAGCAACTACCCCGCAAAAGGGCAACATTTCGCCAAGTTGCTATCTCGTTGTGCTTTGAGTGCTTGGATTACGCGGGTGAGTCTTGGCTTCAGCATGACTTG